AGACTGTCCAACATCTGTCTAACATCAGACTGTCCAACATCTGTCTAACATCTGTCTGTCATACATCAGACTGTCCAACATCTGTCTAACATCTGTCTGTCATACATCAGACTGTCCAACATCTGTCTAACATCCGTCTGTCCAACATCTGTCTAACATCAGACTGTCCAACATCTGTCTAACATCTGTCTGTCCAACATCAGACTGTCCAACATCTGTCTGTCATACATCAGACTGTCCAACATCTGTCTAACATCTGTCTGTCCAACATCTGTCTAACATCTGTCTGTCCAACATCATCTAACATCTGTCTGTCTAACATCTGTCTAACGTCTGTCTGTCCAACATCTGTCTGTCCAACATCATCTAACATCTGTCTGTCTAACATCTGTCTAACGTCTGTCTGTCCAACATCTGTCTGTCCAACATCTGTCTGTCTAACATCTGTCTGTCAACATTTGTGGGACTCACTAAAGTTGTTGTCCTCGAAGAAATGTAACTCGTTGTTGACGCTCCTCACGCAAATCTTCTCATCTTCAGACCAGCTGGGACACCTGAAGACAAAGTAAGTCCGTCAGTAAATCAGTACGTCAATAAGTAAGTACATCAGTAAGTACAACAGTAAGTACATCAGTCAGTACATCAGTAAGTACAACAGTAAGTACATCAGTCAGTACATCAGTAAGTAAGTAAGTAATTAAGTCAGTAATTAAGTCAGTCAGTCAGTCAGTCAGTCAGTCAGTCAGTCAGTCAGTAAATAGGTACATCAGTCAGTCAGTCAGTCAGTCAGTCAGTCAGTCAGTCAGTCAGTCAGTCAGTCAGTCAGTAATTAAGTCAGTCAGTCAGTCAGTCAGTCAGTCAGTCAGTAATTAAGTCAGTCAGTCAGTCAGTCAGTCAGTCAGTCAGGGAGGGTGGATCTGGTTCTGCTGGACGGACCAGGAGTCGACCTTCTTCTGATAAAGAGCTTTGATCAGACGTCCACTCTCCAACTCCCACAGCTGCAGGTTGGCTTCACCCTGAGGACAGCTCTGTGTCTCTGCAAGACGAAGGAGACAGACAGGTCATCACCAAGTCCTCTGCCTGTCTCACTGTGTCCTCGGCTCTTACTGGTATAMGGCTGCCAGGTAACCAGGACCTTCTTGAGAGGAGAAAACTCCATGAGGGCCGTCTTTGGGAGGTCGAAGGTGGACACCATGGAGCCGTCTGCACATTTCACCACAGAGACGCTGAAGGACGAACAGCAGAGACAGTCACATGACCGGGAGTGTCCACCATCCCGCTGCTACGAGACAAGAGGACAAAGACGTACCAGTGTCCGTTGCACCACCCGAAGAGCGTCCCATCTCTGCTGAAGGCCAGACATTTGCTGGACCGATCGTCCCTGAGACACACGGACAAAGACAGGGAACTGATGCTTGTTTGTTTGTTTGTTTGTTTACAACGTGAAGCGGTCTTATTTACCTCTGGAAGGCAGAGTATTGTTGACACTGAGGAGGACCACACAGGAGAGACGTACCATCTGATCCGCACACTGAAACATTTCAAACATTCAGTCCAGATCCTTTTAATTTGATCTTTTTAATAAAAGTTTAACTAACTCCAAACTGGAGTTATTTACTGTGGAAAACCTGGAAATCACTGGTTTTACTGGACAAACTGTCTCTGATCAAACAGTCATTTGGTTTAATGATTTCAGAATTAACCTCATTTAAATTTCTAATAACTTAACATTTTCTCTAGTGTCAGATCAGGAAACATTTAAATAAAAATAGATCTGAAGACATTAAATAATCTGAAAAGATCTAATCTATCAATCAATCAAATTTTATTTGTATAGCACATTTCAGCAGCAAGGCATTTCAAAGTGCTTTACATAAATGTGAGATAAACAGAAAAGATAAAAACATTAAAAACATCAAATACATTGAAGACATCAAAACCCACACTCTAATCCTAATTTAGCCAAAGCAACTCTAAACAGGTGTGTTTGAAGTTGAGATTTAAAGGCACCCAGTGTTTCAGCTGCTTTACAGTTTTCTGGAAGTTTGTTCCAAATCCGTGGTGCACAGAAACTGAACRCTGCTTCTCCTCGTTTGGTTCTGGTTCTGGGGATGCAAAGCAGACCAGAACCAGAAGATCTGAGGGGTCTAGACGGTTTGTACAGTAATAACAGATCTTTAATATATTGTGGTGCTGAACCGTTCAGTGATTTATAAACTAACAGCAGTATTTTAAAGGCTGTTCTCTGAGCTACAGGGAGCCAGTGAAGGGACTTTAAAACAGGTGTTGTGTGCTCTGTCTTACTGGTTTTAGTGAGAATGCGAGCAGCAGCGTTCTGGATCAGCTGCAGCTGTTTGAKCGATKTATTAGTCAGACCTGTGAAGACRMTGTTGCAGTAATCAATGCGGCTAAAGATAAACGCCTGGATGAGTTTCTCTAGAGCACGCTGAGACATTAGTCCTCTAATCCTGGAGAAGTTCTTCAGGTGATAGAAGGCCGACTTTGTGACTGTCTTAATGTGGCTTTGAAGGTTCAGGTCAGAGTCCAGCACTACTCCCAGGTTTCAGGCCTGATCGCTGGTTTTTAGTTGTAATAACTGAAGCTCTGCAGTGACTCTAGTTCGCTCCTCTTGAGGTCCAAAGATAATAACTTCAGTTTTGTTTCTGTTCATCTGGAGAAAGTTTTGGCACCTCCACACATTTATCTGTTCTGAGCACCRGACTGGTTCAGAGTCACCTGGTGACATTGTAATGTAGAGCTGTGCATCATCCACGTAGTTATGGTAGCTAATCCTATTTCCTGCTATAACCTGAGCCAGCGGGAGCATATAAATATTGAAAAGAAGGGGTCCTAGGATTGAGCCTTGGGGTACCCCACATGTGACCTTTGACCTCTCTGATGAGAAGTTTCCAAATGAAACAAAGAAATCCCTGTTTTTTATGTAAGAATCAAACCAGTGGAGCACTGGACCGGAGAGTCCGACCCAACTCTCCAGTCGATTCTGTAAGATGTCGTGGTCAACAGTGTGAAAAGCTGCACTGAGGTCCAACAGAACCAGCACTGTGGTTCTCCCACTGTCTGTATTTATATGAATGTCACTGAACACTTTTACAAGGGCCGTCTCCGTGCAGTGGTGAGCACGAAAACCAGACTGGAATGACTCAAAGCGATTTATTGTTGTTAGGAAGTTATTTAACTGTTTAAAAACTGATTTTTCAATAACTTTGCTGATGAATGGGAGGTTGGAGATCAGCTTGTAGTTCTGCAGTAGTGATTTGTCTTTTTTATAAGTGGTTTGATAACTGCTGTTTTCAAAGCCTGGGGGAAACACCTGAAGACAGTGATGAGTTCACTATTTGAATCATTAGCAACAACAGGCAGGACTTTCTTAAAGAAATGTGTGTGTAGGACATCCAGACAGCAGGAACTGGAGCTTAGTTGACTTTATAATTTCTTCTAGAGTTTTATAATGAAGTAGTTGAAACTGGGTCATTTTTCCTGCATTTGTTTTGTTTGAGCCCAGCGTTGGTACGGGCCTTGGAGTGGATGTGCAGATTAATCCTCTGATCTGTTGAATTTTCTCTGAAGAGAAACTGGAGAACTTGTTGCAGTTAGGTTAAAGTTCAGGTGGCAGCACCACAGGAGGATTTGTGAGTCTGTCAACATTAGCAAATAAAGCCTCTCTCGCATGTTTTAATGTTGTGTGATAGTTACGTAGTCTTTCCTTGTAGATGTCATAATAAACGTGTTGTTGAGTTTTACGTCATTTCCGTTCGGCCCTACAGACAGACAGAACTGTTTGTGCATTTCTCCATGGAGATCTCTTCCCACCAGTCACAACCTTCACTTTAATGGGAGCAACGTAATCAATGATATCTAAAAGTTTGCACTGAAAACCATCTACCAACTTATCGTTATAAGTTAAGGGCGAGGAAGAAGAGTACATTTGTACGTTTTGTGATCGTAGCWGTTTGTCCAAGTGGGTTAACGGATAAACAACATTCAAAGATAACATTGGAAATATTCACACCCTTACTGATAACCAGGTCCAGTGTGTGTCCATGAGTGTGTGTTGCTTGTTATGACATGTTGTGTTAAAACAAAACTCTCTAATATATTAAACAGATTTTTTGCCCCTCGGTCTTTGTCAACATGAACGTTGAAATCACCGACATTTATCAAACAAWCATAATCAATGCATATAAGAGACAGAAGTTCAGCACAGATGGAGACAAAAACATGAGTTTCAATCAGAAAAAGATTTAATGATTATATTATAAATTCGTTATAATAAAAAGTATATTTAAAATGATGTCATGAAAACAAACAAACAGGCTTATTTTTGTATTATTTAGTTTAAATCAATAATAAAACTGATGATGAACGGGTTTTATTGATTTTTCGCCACTCGGAGCCAACTTTTATTTTCTGAGTTTTATTTTCAGTTTCCGGTCGGTTCCTAACGGCTCGAAGTACACAAGTACACAAGTACACAAACTAAACAAGTAAACAAGAATAAAATTCCGTTAAAAAAGCCAAACTACCTGCCAACAGCGGGATGGGGGGCGCCATGTTTACATGTGCCGGAAAGAGAATCCTGGCTGCCGGAAGTGCGTCACAAGGACGAGAGGCGGGACTCTGAATGCCACATCAGCATATCAAACCAAAGCAGTTCATTTTAAAACGGAAAGAAGCTTTAAAAATAAAAACTAAAACATCAAATAACTCAGTTT